ACACACACTCACTCACACACACACACACACACACACACACAAACACACTCAGTCACACTCACACACACACACACACACACTCACACACATACATACACACACACACTCACAACCTGTAATAGAATCTGAAATCAGATTCTGAAATTAGATTCTGAAATCAAATTCTAAAATTAGATTCAGAAATCAGATTTTGAAATCAGTTTCTGAAATCAGAATTGTGATTAGCTACTGAATTGAAATGTGTGGGTAGGTTTGTGTTGGTAGGTGGCAGTAGGGGGTAGGGCTGGTATTTTCTAAGTTTTTTTTTTAATTTTTTATGTATTAATTGTTATTTATTTGTTTAATTTTAATGTACTAATTTTTTCTATCTTACTTATTTGTAGCTTTTATATGTTGATTTGTTTGTCATTGAGGAAGTTAGAGCTAAACAAGAAACTCCAGTTCTCAAAGGTTGGACAACCAATATGTTGTCTAGTTGTGAGAAAATGGAAATTTTTAAGGGGAGGCTTGGACTTTTTGATAAAAATCTGAAGCTTGTTGGTCCTTCTGGCAGCAAACAACCAAATATGGTATTTTACTTTCAACCAATACTTAGTTTTTCTATGCCTTTGGCATTGCTTGTAGAATTGAAATGGAACAAATCTTGCCTTTAGGAAAATGATGCAATGTGGCGCTCTATACGGCACATCAATGGACCTCCTAAATTAGTAAAGAAATATTTGCTCATTTGTCAAATGAGAATTTAACTTTTTGCTCATTTTTCAAATGAGCAAAAACTTTAGTGCTCATTTGTCAAATAAAGTTCAATTTGCTCATTTTTATATGACTTTGCTTGTTTCATATCCACTTTTCTTATTTGTCAAATGAGCAAATAATTAGGATATTTTCTTTCAATTTGTTCTAACTTTCTTTTTGTTTTTTGTTTTTTTTGTTTTTTTGTTTTGCTTGATTTTAGAAACAATCTGATCCAATTGGTACAAAAAATGAAGAAACTGAACAAGATCCAAAGAAGGTATTTATATAATTTTTCTGGAAACCAAAATTTTTTTTGCTCATTTATCAAATAAAGTTCAATTCGCTCAATTTTATATGACTTTACTCATTTCATATTCACTTTGCTCATTTCATATTTACTCTTTTCATTTATATTCAACTTATTATGTATTTTTTTTTTTACAGAAATGCCTTATGGAGCTTGCAACAGCATCTACAAACCTAGTCTTGGCATACATGGACTTTAATGAAAAGCATGAACAAGCTGTCAAGTATTTTCCTCACAATGAAAAAATATGGAAGCTAAGGGAAGATGCCATGGGTATTTGTGACGAGCAAAGATTGAGTTCCCAGGCTATGCTGGAAAATCATAGCCTTTCTTTTAGCCAAGACGATTAGTATTGGCAAGATCCGGCTGTCATTGAAGCTTAGGATAGATTTTCCAAGATTTTAGCTAATGAGAAGAATGTTGAATCCTCAGTCTTTGCTAGGGCTGATTGTCCAACCGTAATAGAAGCCATTGATGTTACAAAGATTGCTGCTGAAAGTGTTCAGATAGCAAATAGTCTTTTTGAAAATGAAGGTCCTGCTATTGTAGTTGAAACTGAAAAAGCTGAAGGAGGTTCAAGTATTCGATCTAGATTTATATCTTCAGTTGAATGTCCGTCCGTTGTCATAGAGCCTAGGCCTGCTGAACATGTTTTTAAAAAAGTTGGAGACTCAAGTATCAAATATGGTTTAAGAAGTTCAGTTGCCAAAGGACCTAGAACTCCTACATTCAGTTTAGGAATCTCTTCTCAAGAAACTGATTCTCAGGAGAAGTCCCCTAGCAGTGCACCTACTGATGAACCTGTAGTTGCTCCTGTCAGTGCACAAGTTGGTGCTTCTGCAATAGCTTCTATATCAGTTGTTGCTGCTGTTGCTGATGCTCTGAATGCTAATCATCAAGAGTCCACTTTTGATGCTCAAGAAGATCCAATTGTGCTTAAGAGAAAAGGAGATACTGAAAAGGAGAGATCTATTCCAAAGAAGAAGCGTAAAGTGCAACCATCATTGCAGATTAGATCTCCTTCTAAGTCTCGGATTATCAACATTTACACACCATTAATAGCAGCTCATAAAGGTGTTATGGATTCAGTTTTTCATGAGAAGAAAAATTGTTTGTAAGTATATATTTAAGTCATATAATTGTTTATCTTGACTTATCTAAATTTTGCTCATTTTCAAAATGAGCAATATTTTCTTATTTAAAAATACTGAGCTAGACCTATTTTAAGAAATACATTTCAGAGTAAAGGGTGATGGAAATTTCAGTAGCCTCTTGCATTTTGATGTACCCCTCTGGAAATTGGCAATTGATCTTATGTTTCTTTCTTAAAACGAGTCCAGCTCTGTATTCTCATTTTACATACCTTTGATTGAAGTTATATTAACTTCCCTAAATCTTATATGTAGTGATCCAGTGTTTTCATGAAAGGGTGAGTTGGTATTGAAGTAATGACATTTCAACTTGAAATGTTAAAAAATCAGAACAAAATTCATTGCGAAATCATTAATGCATGGTGTACTATTCTGAATTTTAATGAGCATATAGAGATATCAATTCTTGTGGACGTTTTTTTTTCAGTCTTACTGCAAGTGTAAGTTCAACTCGTTCATTTTATTTTGTTTTATTTTGTTCATATTCACTTTGCACATTTCATATGATTTTTAATATTTGAATGTAGATCTAGTTTGTATTTCCAAAGACTAATATTAGTTCTTTGCTCATTTGTCAAATGAGCAAACTATTCAATGCTCATTTGTAAAACTATTCTTGTTCATTCATTGAAAATAAATATTTATTTTTTGCTCATTTGTCAAATGAGCAGTTAATTTTTTGCTCATTTGTCAAATGAGCAAAACCTTCAGTGCTCATTTGTCAAATTAATTTCAATTTACTCATTTTATATGACTTTGCTCATTTCATATTCACTTTGCTCATTACATATTTACTCTTTTTATTTATATTCATCTTATCAATGTATTTTTCTTTATGTATTTTTTTAGGATGGATTGCCTTTTTCAATACGAAAGTGATCGTGCTCTACAAAGGAATAAAATGATTTATGATATAGTGGAGCCGGAATTCAGCAAAATAGTCATCCAAAGAAAGATATTGAGCTTTTATTTTTCCCAGTATTTGAAAAAGATCATTATTTTTTGGTATGTTTTAACACCACCATAGAGTGTGGTACAATGGAGGTTATTGATTATAGGGAAGGCTCTACAGAAAACAAGAAATTTCTTACAAATCTAGTATGGCTTAAGGTTTTGTTAGATTATTTCAGAAAAATGATTAGAGTTTAGTTGTTTATCTTGGCCTTGTTCTGCCTATATTTGTTCTAACTATATTTGTTCTGCCTGTTTTTGTTCTTATTTTAATCTATTTGTTCATTTTCAGAAAAGCGCATTTTCATATTTCATGGATCGATGGTGAAGGAACTGTACAAAGTGTTGTTTTGTCGAAAGAGATCAAGTCTATGGAGTATGTAGTGATTGATTTACCCTGGAAGTCTTTAGATGATGACCATTTGCATTATGGAGTTGCAATGATGAGGTATATGGAAACATATATGGGTTTGCAAAAGTGGAATTCAGGTTTGAAGAAAAATAATGTAAGTCAATGATTCAAATGAGCATATACTTAAGTTAAGATCATATAAGTTAATGTTAGATAAGTTACAAGATTAGTCAAATAAATAGAGTTAAACTATCTAAGACTTGTACACACTCTGGGTTAAAAACATCTATGAATTCAAGGAAAGATTCTGAACTCTTCTTTCTTCCTCATAAAAAGGTAGAGATTAATGAGGTAATTTGATAAAAGGTCCTTAAAACACATAAGCTAGTGACCCATATCTTGCCCATTTTTGAATCTCTCAAATTGCTGGAATATCTTCACCCTCCTTCCTACATTTATATTTTTTAAAATTTTCTTGTTGCTTTATTTTTTCTTTTCTATTTCTTATAGGTGATAATCATAGAAAAACTTCGTGTGAAGTACACCTTGTCAATAATCTCAAGTGAAATAAACACAATTCAGTCTGGTAAAGAAATTTCTCATAAGATGAAAAAGCAGAAGAAAGCTTCAATTAAGGTTGAAGAAGAAAAGGCTAAAGAAGAAAAGGCTTAAGAAGAAAAAGCTCAGTATTTTACTTGGTGTAGTGTTGATTTAGATACTTGGTGGTGTTGATATGGCTTTCTAGGTTTAGGGAAGTAGAGAAAGAATGATTTTATCAATATGTAAGTTGTTTAGTAGTGTTTATTTGAATCGAAATTGGATCTTTTATGTTGACTTTTGATTATGGTTACTTTTGTGGTGGTTATATTTAAATTGGATCTTTTGTGTTTACTTGAAATACTTTGTCGATTATACCTGGTTTTTATTTGAACTATTTGCTCATTTTACAGATGAGCAACGAACTATTTGCTCATTTGACAAATGAATAAAGAAATATTCATTTGTCAAGTGAGCAAATAATTGATTGATCATTTCACAAATGAGCAAAGAAATGCTTGTTGATTTAATGAATGATTAAAAAAATGTTTGCTCATTTGACAAATGAGCAACTAATTATTTGCTCATTTGATAAATGAGCAAAAAATTGATTGCTCATTTTCCAAATGGTCAAACAAATGTTTGCTTATTTTACAAATGAGTAAGTAATTATTTGCTTAACTATTTGCCCATTTGACAAATAATTGAAATCTCATTTGACACATAATTGATTCTGTTAAGAAATATAAAATCAACAAAATTTCAGCAAAATTTAAAACATAAAATTTCTATATGTTCGATAAATAATGAGGGGATGTGCTAAAAATATTAAATTTTATATTTATATAAAAGTATCATTACACTTTTTCTGGACAATTTCTAATATCATGATGACTCAATTCACCACAACCTCTACATAATCTCTTCTTTTTCTGGTTTTGTTCTACATTCTTTTCTTTTTCTCCCTTCAGCCTTTTTGCACTTCTACCTTTTGTTTCGACATTTGGCACATCAATCTCAGCCCCTTTAATTTCTTTTTTGAAGTCTCTTCATTTGATACATGAACTCCAGTCCCTTTACTCTTTGAAATTTTTGGAGGTTTGACAATTATTTCAGTTGGCACAGTAGCTCCAATCAATAGCACAATGTCTTGTTTTTTGTTGTTTGCACTTCCAGCTGTTGTTTCATTATTTATTGCAATCCTCTTAGCCTTCAAATCCTTTCTTATTCCTTGAAGATTTATCACAAGGTCTTGAATATCTTCATCTTTTCCTTCTGCCAAACCTACACAAGTGTTTATCTCTGACCACAAATCATTTAATAATTTTTTCTTGTCAATTATATTAGCACATTGCTCCAACAGATTTCCTCCCAAGTCAAAAATTGGTTTCTTCATTGCCATAGTAGTCCATCTGTGTAGCATATACTGCTCAGGAATGGTTTCAAACCTTTTTGCTTTCCAAACCCAAATCATATGTTTACATGGAATTCCTTGTCTATAAAATAGCTTGCAAGAACATGTGGTGTCATAGTTAGTTGGATTAAACACAACACCAAATGTTCTAGTCCGAGTTCCTTCACTTACTTTTGCAACTTCCAATCCATTTTCTTTCTTCAATTCATCAACACCACAAGAAAAACAAGCAATTTCAACCTCATATTGAAATTCATAAAAGACAGAGTTAGTATATAAATGTGAGGCATGTTTTTCTATCCCTAGTGGTGTTTTGCACTCAGGATATTTGTGCTTTGAATAATTATCATTCTGACCTTGAGTGTGTCTTTGGGCATCAATTGAAGCTTCATATCTCAAGTAAAACTCAACAAGTGACACATGAGGATAAATAAAGGAGCAGAAAAAGTTATTTTCACTTTCAGATCTTGATGTTGTACGCATTATTCCTCCAAGGAACACATCTCTGAAATACACCGGAATCCACTTGTCCTTTATCTTGTACATATAACCTAACCACTCATGTTCTTCCAAGTGGTATTCAACCATCACCTTGTTCCACCTTTCTTCAAACTCAGCAGGTTCAATTTCAAGATGCCAAACGCAAACACATAACTAGTTTCTTCTTGCATGATTGATTTCTCCACCTTATCTTGTAACTTTTTCATTATGTGGACATACAGAAGCGATGTTTAGTCTTCTTAAACACACTTGTAACAACAATTTTCATTGCTGGATCTTGATCCGTAATCATACAATTAGGTTCATTCCCACCCATTGCCATGAGAAATGATCTGAACAGCCACTCAAATGACACAATATCTTCCTTTGCTATGAAACTAGCAGCAAAAGTAATGTAGCTCTTATGATGGTCAACCCTTGTAAATGGAGTAAACACCATGTTGTACCTGTTTACACATACAGATTAAATTTTAAATGAGCAAATAATTCAATGCTCATTTGTGAAATAAGCAAACAATTCTTTGCTCTTTTGTCAAATGAGCAAATAATTGAATGCTCATTTGTGAAATGAGCAAATAACTCAATGCTTATTTGTGAAATAAGCAAACAATTCTTTGCTCATTTGTCAAATGACCAAATAATTCAATGCTCATTTGTCAAATGAACATGAAATTCAATGCCCACATACATACTCTTATCAAAGAATATTAGACTTATGGGGATATTCACTTTTCACATTGAAGTAAGCAAACAATTATACTAAGTTCATTTAAAACAAAGTCATTAAGTTAAGCCATAGTTATAATATAAAAATGAATTGTGATTATTATGAATTACCTTTGGTTTGGTATGTGGTATCAAAGGATACCATATCACCAAATAGAGCATAAGTCTTTTTACAAAGGGGGTCTGCTCACAATGCTCCACAAAGGCAATAATCTTCATCCATCTCAAAATCAAAGAAAAAGGCGCTCCACATTAGCTTTTTGTTGGTAAAGTTATCCACGAATATTTAAGCATCGCTTCCTTGAATGTATGCTTTTAAATCTCTATGAAATTTTTTGAAATCTTGCTTAGATGCACCAATGTTATCATATCCTCTAACAATTTCCTTCATCATTCGAAAAGTTGTAACGGGACCAATATTCACCTATTTAAAGAACAAAACAGTTTGTCAAATGAGCAAATAATTCAATGCTCATTTTTAAAATGAGCAAACAATTCAATACTCATCTAATTATTTGCTTGCTCATTTGAACAATTTAATGCTCATTTTTCAAATGAGCAAACAATTTAATGCTCATTTTTCAAATGAACAAACAATTCAATGCTCATTTTTCAAATTAGCAAATAATTATTTGCTCATTTGTAAATGAGCAAACAGCTTTTATTAGAACATATAGAGAATTCATGAAACATAAGAGACTTTGAAAGTGTTACCTTAGAATTATTCACAATTATTTTTTTGTGCAATATGTTCATTTTCCTTCCTTCTGTTTGGAAGAGATTGCAACTAGGTGTATAAAGTGCATGATTATGTCCTCATGAAATTGTGACACTATGAATTTGTTACCATCACAATGCTTTATGACAATATGTGCCTTGCACCCAACACGAGTAACGAGTCTCTTCATTTTGATTGAAGCTTTTTCTTCATTGCTTTCTCCTTCCTTGTTATGTAAATCTTTTTCAACAGTAGCCTTTCTTTTCTCTTTGTATCCTTCCTTATTGCATAAGATATACTGTGATTTCAATTCTTTGCTTCTTCTTTGTCTTTTAGTTGTAGACTTTCTTGTGTTGAATCCAACAGTAAATGCGTAACTTTTATAAAATTCAAGGCCCTTTTAAAGATTATTAAACTTCATCCCTATAGCTGGTTTCAACTCATTGGGGCATATTGGAATCCATTCTTTTGTTCCTCCAGGAGTGAGAAAAGGTGCTACTTTAGGATAAACTATTATTGTAGGAGTAGTTGGCACATTTGTGATGGTACTAGAATGACCGTCAAGTTATTCGTTGTTCCTCATCATTTATGTCATTAAACATAATAGAAATAACAAGTCATTAACAATTCCACAAAATAGTAACAAGTGAATATGCACCCCCTTAAACACACGTACACACAGACTCTCAATAATTAGATCTGAAATCAGATTCTTAAATAAGACTGTACACGGCCAGAAGCAAACACACACACTTATACATACACTCTTACACTCACTCACTCACACACACACACACACACAATAATTTCAGAATCTAAAATTAGAACTGAAATCAGTTTCTGAAATCAGAACTGCAAGTAAAAATATGGGGGGCAGGGGGGATAGGTTTGTGCAGGGAAGTGGAAGAAGAAAGTATGGTTGGTGTGCAGGAAATAGACCAAGAAGAAGGGGGTGGGTCTTGTGCACAGGCAAGCAGACCAAGGAACTCAATGCTCATTTGTGAAATAAGCAAACAATTCTTTGATTTTTTGTCAAATGAGCAAATAACTCAATGCTCATTTGACAAATGAGCAAATAAGTATTTAGGAAGCACAACCCCAGTAAAACAAACTATCCTAGCAACAGCAACAAGAACGCAACAATGATACTCTAATCCACAAATTCCCTCCTCTTTCTTTCTCTCTACTTTTTTTTCTTCACAATAATATGGGCACTTTCTCTCTCTTCTAATCCTAGCATTAGCATTAGCATTAGCTACAACTACCTCTTTCACTGCTTCTGCAACTCATGATAATGAGCTGAATGCCATTTCTCAACCTCTTCCTTACACCGTACAATCACCACCACCACCACCAAACTCTCTCTCTTTCCTCTGCCCCTGTCCCTACCCTTGCACCCTACCACCACCACCATCACCACCACAACCTATCTCACTCTCACTCCTCTGCCGCCGGCCCTGTCCCTAGCACCCTACCACCACCACCATCACTAACTTATTTTGCTCATTTGCTCATTTTTATATTTGCTCATTTTTTTTTTTTGAATTTGCTCATTGTAATTATGTTTTCTCATTATATTTTTTCTATCCGAAATATTACCTACGAACTCATTCAAAACAAACTCATTGATAATAGAGTACCAAGTCACAAGATTTCTAACAAGCATTTTATCAATCACCTTGTATGTACTATCAAGATATTCATAAGTATCATAAAAATGCACCAATAACCCATATAAAATCGATGAAATTGACATATAAAATCGCACAAAAATTGAACAAAAATCAGATTATGAAATCGCACAGGAAGTCGAAAAAAATCGAACAAAAATTAAATAGGAAACGCACAGGAAATCGAACAAAAATCAGAAATTTTTTTTGATGAAATTGAAGCTAAAAATCGATATGATGCAATTAAACATGCAATTTAATGATTAATGCAATTCGAAAATTAACATGTAATTCGATAATTTTAATGAAAATTTTGAATCAAAAGTAAATTCGATAATCATCACAACATGAAATTCAATAATTTCAACAAAAAAATCAAGAAGCTAAGAAGAGGTGAGAGAAATTGACGAAATGAAAATACCTCAATAATTGACGGAATTTCTGTACTTGTGAACAAGCTAAGAAGAGGAGAGAGAAATTGTCAAGGTTGAGCCATTAAATTAGACGCCATTGATGAAGTCATTTTTAAGGAGAGAGGATTTAGTTTTAAGGAGAGAGAAGCCAATTTTAAGGAGGTTTATGTAATTAATCTCAGCTGTTAGATTTAATAAGATTAATGGCTGAGATTTGTTCCCACATAAGGGATGTGGTCTCACATATAAGGTGGTTCTCTCTCTCTCTCTCTCTCTCTCTCTCTCTATATATATATATATATATATATATATATATATATAAATATATATATATATATATACTCTCAGAGATCAGATTTCAAAACGTACTGACTCAATATGACCCGATTAAACCTAAAAATAACCTAATTTAGATTTTGGCCTACATAAGCACATCATGACTCAAATAAAAAATAGACTCGACTAGGCAAGACTCAACTAAACCCGACTTAGTTATCCAAATTGACAATTCTATATTCTGTAATCAACTAATTGAACAAAATCGACCGGGGGGGGGGGGGGATTGTGCTCAAGTTAAGATTAGAAAAGGGGCAACATGCTAAACATGCGTATCTAATCCTAATGTCCGCCGAATTGATATGACGTTGACACGTGGGCCACACTGAAGCTTCTTTACAGGACTAGACGGTGTGCTTTCCTAAATCCACTGCTCACAAAGTGTTTCATGCATTCGACGTCTTATGTTGACTTCCCTTATACCCCTTCCTATACGCCTACACGTACAATAATTCCCTTTTTTTTTTTTCTTAGTAGTTAATTTTTGTGCTATTTTATTTTATGTTTATGACATTGTAAGATTAAAAAATTAAAAAAAGAAAACTATAAATTACATAACTTTGACTAACAGTCTTAAAATGGGCACTAATAGCCTTATAGTCATGTTTTTCATCCTTTTTATAGCTAAAGAATATTTGTACAAATAAGGAGTATTTTTTTGCGGCCAATAATTATAGATTTATAGTCATTTCACCAATAATTAACTCATGGTACAATTTTTTTTTTTTCCACATCAAAAATTCAGCATTGAAAATTAGCATCCCAAAAAAGAGAAAAAAAATTCCAAAAGGCGTAAAGATTATGTACTACGTATTTTTATTATTAAAAAATAAATTATTTTACTGTACTTCGTAATTGAGAGCATGAACCAAATACAAATCATGAGCTATTTTCAGTATTTTGTGCTTCTCGGTAAATATAAAAATTGGATAAGTACGTAGTACTTGTTATTACTTTCTATTGTGCTATGGTGCTAATTAATTATGAAGGAAAGAAGAGTTTAGTCGTTGAAAAGGAACATCTAGTGATTGCATGTAAGATTCTAAGTGAAAATGAAAACTAGCACATTGCACGCATGTTATATATATAATTTTAAATATATATATTAAATGAAAATGTTTTCTCATATGAACAGGATATGTACTTGTATATACATATACATATCAAGGGGCATTTGAGACATTTCGCATGAAATTTACCCATCTCTCTCCTCCTTTTCTCTTACCCCCACGTGCTGGATTTAAGTGTACCACTGGGTGATTAATAGTATAACTAGATGATCAAATAGTATCATTGAACATTCAGTGGTACTATATATTCATTCAATGGTACTATATATTCATTTAGTAGTACCAACTACGCATAGAAATAATATAACTACATATTCAATGATATTATATAAGTTTTTAGTGGTACATTTAAAAATTGGTCCCACTTGTTAATCTCTCTCCTCCTTTCTCTCACCCCCATGTGCTTACAATACTTTTTAATATTTTAAGGTTTGATATGTATTTGCAAATACATATCAAACCTTCATTAGTACTTCCTCCAGGATATGTAATACTATAGCCCATATGGGTGCTAGATGGAATACGGGTGGTAATGTGGGGTATATTTGTATAAGTCCTTTTCCTCAAGGCATTTTGGCTTTGGCGGAAATTGATTTAATTTAATGAAATGTCCAAGCTTCTTTCGAAAAAAAAAATATAATAATAATTATAATAATAATAATAATACCAACAGATGTGTTGCTTTACTCCTGGGATAGAGGCCTAGATGTATGTGTTGACTTGACGGGGTCTTCTCCATTGACACAATCTGGGTTGTCTGACTTCGTTCCTGGTTGTGTTGTGTCGGTTGCGGCTCAGCGGAAGCGAGACAAGTATGGGGCGCGTTGCAGGGCTATTGGCTATGGTTTTCTTCCTTTCTCTTTTTCTTCATTAGGGGAATTAGAGAAGGATGTTGTTGCGTTGGTGAAGCGGGTTCAGGCGTTCGCTAGGACTCAGGATATTGGTGCTCGTGCGGCTGTTCACATCTTCAACAGAATTGGGTTCACTATAGCTAGAGGGGTAAGGGCCCAGATTGTATGTCGGCTCCCCACTAATTTCTTGTAAAT